ACACACACACACACACACACACACACACACACACACACACACACACACACGGTGAGGAAATCAGCCCAATTTGTCAAATTCAGACTGAATTCTCCAACAGGAATCTCCCGGACTTGGACGTGTATCCCACAGTAGCCGTTTTAAAAAAAAAAAGTAATCTTCACCCACCGGTCTGAAGAGCTAAATTCCAAAATGAGACGCACACATTTGGGTAGGAAGTGAAATTTACAGCAAACGTGTGAAAGCATGATAGTTTGTAATTCTACACCTTGGCCAAGAGATTGCTGACAACTTTATAAACATGTGACATTCACAAATATTCTCCCAAAAACAAAAAAATGTTAATGTAAAAGCATTTTGGAATAAAGCTCTTCTTCAATACGCCCAAGTATTATACTCACACCTAAAGCATGTTTCATTTGATTAGGGAAAAAAAACAAAAAAACAAAAAACAAAACAACAAAAAAAACTATTTCACTTTATATTAAGGCATCCAACATGCATCAGCGTATCCTTCCATAAAAGACACCTGCATTCGAATGCTTAAAAACATTTCAAAACAATGTAAAATGTGTCAAAGTGCGGTATGCCAAAGATTCTACTTCCCTCAGCCTCTTTTTGCGCTGCCTATTTGGATTGTCGTGAAACTATGAACATGAATATGGGAACAATTCAACAGCCCTATTCTCTCCAAAGTACCTCCTTTTATATCCCAAAGTAGTGAGTAGACAACACTCTTCATTTCACCCTTCTGTGGCAATTAAAAAGGGTGGCGGTTAAGACCAGTTCTTTCTCTCCCAATGATTTAGTCCAGTCGTATTTTATCCAAGCAATCTTTGCCCTAAAAGTGAAAGTAGGCGTGAGAAAAACAATTCCACAGGAGCAAAGTGGGAGTTATACATGTCAGCATTTCCATGTTATCCCAAAAAGTGTTTCCCAAAAATCCCCCCATGGCCTCTGCCAAAAAAAGAATGAAAAAAGAAAAAGGAAACACTTGCATCAGTTTTTAGGGTACAACAGCTCAAGCGTGGCAAGCTGAGTGCCTTTACAAATTATAGGAAGGTCATAGAAGTAAGGTAATACATAACCACAGGGTTAGGACCAAAAATGTCTGGATAAAATGAGGATTAAGGGAACTCTGAGGAGGGTGGGGGTGTTATCACTTATCAGACAGCAACTGATTAAGTGACAAGCAGCAAGAAAAGAGTCTGCTGTTGTATTTGATACCAGGTGAGCTCTACAGATAACGGATATCAAGTCAGTGTAGGTTGAGCAAAGGATAGCGGGTGCAAGGGGGGAGCAAACATCAAAAACTAAAGAATATTAGTTTTTGAGGATTAGTGCTCAAATCTGTTTATTAAAATCTGAGGAGCCCAAATGGGTCCAACAATAGTCAGTGTGCAGACCAATCCTGATCTGAGTCTTTAACTGTTGCTGGTGGCCATCGCTGGAGGCAACTCGATTATTATCTCCCCTTCAGAACCACCGCCAGAGCTGGTTACAGTAGTGGAAAGAGCAGCACTGCTGGTTCCGCTCTTGTTGACGAGCGCCGTCGGCTGGCCAAAGTTAGTGGTTCTCAGGGTTGCCAGGTGACGCGGAGAGAAGACGTGGGCCCTTGCTGCAGCCCGGGATTCAAATGAGACGTTGCAAGCATCACAGCGCCCCGTCAGGGTCTCCTTTGGCACCGGCTGACCCGGCACTGGGGAAGCTGGAGGTTCGGTAACCATTAGCTGAACAGGCTTGGGCAGGATGGGTCGATTGGCCTTGAGAGCGCTGTACTGCAGGTAGCTTCCTGAGCTCATGTCTACCTTCGCGCCTGAAAGAGGAGACTGAGAATCCCACATTGGAGAGTGGAGATGCAAACAGAGAAGGAAAGGAGGTATGTTTAATGTTCAGAGTTTTAAAATGAACAAAGCAAAATTTAGGCTGTCTGGATATTTGCTGAGGACAAGTTATCACGTTTCCTTAAATTTGAGCAATATTACCGAACTCAACCATATCAGCAACCTTATGTGTATAAAGTGGTAATCCCAAAAGACAAGAGTCAAGCAAGCTTGTCATTAAAGTAGTGAAAGCTAGTGAGGGAATTTGGAGCTTTTATTTGTCAGATATTTTTAAGTAGGATTACTGAAATACATGCCCATTGCTTTACTTTATCCATTTATGTCTCAACTGATTTTCCAGGGTAGAAATGGTTGAATGTAATACTCCAACACCACCTCTAAAACCGCACAGCAGACCTAAATAAAACTCTTATTCAACATATTTTTAAAGAAAAGCATGTGTTCCTACTCTCTGCATTACATTTGCAAATATAAACAGTAAGTTTGTATTTTTAACGATGTATCAATAAAAAGGAGGGAAAAAAGTTGTTTGTTTTTTTAATGTCATTCTCATAGAAAAACTTGTCAGCTTACCATTTTCTCCTGCTGCAGCCTCCAGCGCTTCTCCTTCGCTCTTGTGTTTTGGAACCAAATCTGCACCACCTTGAGCGGCAGGTTGAGCTCAGTGCCAATTGCCTCGCACTCCATGGCGTTGGGATGGGCACAGGTCTCGTAACATGACTGCAGAATGGACAGTTGTAGGCAGGACAAATGAGTGCGTGGTCTACGGCTGGATGAGTGGGGCAGAAAGCTGCTTTCTGTTGGGCTTGATTTAGCTACACATGGGGTGGAAGGGCTGGCCACTTTGGCAGAACTAGGGGTGTTAGGGCTGACTGGTGCAATGCTGGGGGTGGGAGGAGGGGGGATGGTACGAGGAGCTGTGTGCGTAGGAAGAGCCAGTTGTTCTCTTGATAGAGTGTTGATCTTAATGGGGACTTTGGAAGTCCAGTAGTTCAGCCCATTCTGTTTTTGTGGCACCACTGCTGTGGCTGAAGGCCTGTTGTTGATGGGAGTTGTGGGGAGCTTCGGCACCATGCGGTTAGTGGTTCCTGGTCCAAGACCAATCTCATTTTCGTTATCCCGCTCCTCATCGGTCTTTTCTTCCTCACTCTCGTCTTCTAGCTTTCGTTTCTGGGCTGGTCGTGGGGCAATTGGAATCAAATCCTTGGGTGGCACCAAGAGGACAGGGGTATTTGCTTTGGGTGCAACTTTAACCATGGTGATGTTGCTGGTGGTTTCGAGCGTGGTCTTTGGCACTGCAGAAGCACTGCTGCTCACAGGAGATGCTGTGGTGGAAGAAACGAACTCCTTCGGCTTTATAGGAACGGGGGATATTTTTTTCATCACAACTGGCGCTTGTTTGGCCAGTTCATTTACAGGCTCCCTCTCTGTCTTGATGAGGGTGCGAACAATCGGAGTAGTTGTAATTCCCCCGGTATTGTTTGTAGCAGGCTTGTTAGTGAATATGGGTTTGGAAAGAGGCCAAGTAAATTTGATGAGAGGTTTGCCAACTGCCGCCAAGGTCCCGTCGCCGATGAATCTGACCTCGCCTTTTCTTTCCCTTGCCCTCATGTTCTGGAACCAAATCTGAACCACCTTCTTTGGAAGGTGAACCCACTCTGAGATCTGTTCAAACTCATGTTTCCCAGGATTTGGGTCTTTGAAATAGCAGCCATACAGAATATCAAGTTGTTCTGCTTGTATGATGGTCCTTGAACGACGCATATCCCGGTACCTTTTTCCTTTGGACTTCCTCTGCTCCTGTTCTTGCTCCCTCTCCTTTTCTCGGTCCCTTTCCAATAGTGTGGTGTTCATTTTTTCTCCAGGCCTCATATAAATGCTAGACTTGGTCACATTACTGCAGTTGACCATGTTTGTAACATTGTTAGAAGAGGGCATGGCAGTAAGAGATTCCGGCTTAACCTGGACGACTACCAGACCTTTGGATGTGGGCCTCAGGCCAAGTCCGTCCAGCAACTGTCCCTTCTGTGCTGCAATTGTATCAGCCAGAGATGAGGACAGAGCAGACTTTGAGCTGTTTTTGCCCATGCTGAGATCAAGAGCTGACTCACAGTCGTCACCATTGGACAGGTAGTGGGAAGTTTGGTTTTGTGAGAAGAGAGATTGCGAGAGAAGAGAGTTGGAGAAGCGTGTGATGGTTGGTGGGTTGGGAAAGATGGGGACTTTGCTTCCATCCCCAACCACCGAAGGAGTAAGGGAGAGAACATAGGGGCTAAGAAATGGAGTAGAAAAGGGAGTGAATGACAAGGGAAGTGAGTGGAGAGCACCAGTTGGGATTTCAGAGGGATCTGCTGCATTGGACTGTGAGCTTGGAGGATCACCTTGGGCCTCCAACTCTAGATCTACATCTGGGTCTTGCCTTTCCTTTTTTAGCTCCAGATCATGTTCAAACTTCTCTCTCTGTTTTTTTCTCTTGGCCCCTTGACTACCTCCGCCATCCTCATCTTCGTATTCATCCTCTGCATCGGAAAGAAACACAGTCGTGGAGCGCAATACCTTTCCTCCAACTGAACCCTTATCGCCGTGGACCTCCCGCTGTGCTTCGTCTTTAGCAGGGCTTTCAGGATCATCTCTTAAAGACCCATTCTGACTTTCCTCATCTGAAACAATGACAGAAGTGTAGACCTCATTCTCTGAATCCGATGTGAGACAGGAATCTCCCTGACCCTCCCTTCCCAACTCCCTGTGTTTGCGTTTCCCTCTTGTACTAGACAAATCCATGGCCTGATTACTAAATGGTTCAGCATCATCCTCACCTTCTGCTATTATGAGTGAGCTTTCCTCGTCATCATAGTCATTATCAGAACTCTGACAATTTCTTGTAACACCGGTCAGCTGTTCCAACTCTGTCGCCCTCTGTCTTTGTTTTGTGTGTCTAGCTTGGGTCAGCCACCTTCGAACCTCTTCTTCAGAAAGACCCACCTCTCGGCCCAGCGCTTCACAGTCCTCATAGGGAGGACTTGCAGCATCAGCCTCACTACGTGACTCAAAGAAGGCCCAGAGAACCTCTGACTGGAACTCTGAAAGCACTGGAAGGTCTGGATAAATGGAATCCACTGTATTACAATGAAGACGATTTTGGCTGTTAGTTAAGGCATTGGTACTTGAGCTGGATTTTGGAGTGCCAAGAGAGCCACATGGGCTTGTGCCTGATTGGGATTTTTGAGGAGTAGAATCAGGACTAAGGGTAAGGTTTAAATTTACAGGACTGAGGCTCGAGTTGCTGGGCACAGATGCAGAAGGGGAGAGGTTGTTATTGCGGAGGCTCTTCTCTGTGCCCGCTGGGGAGAGATTCAGGCTAGCTGCTTTATCACCTTCCAGGTCCAACTGATTTGTTGAGCAGTCTCCATCTGTTGTGCTGTCTTCATGTGCCTTCCCATTGTTTTCATTATTCTCAACCTTTATGTTACTTTCTATATCAGAACACTGTGAAACGTCTGTACTGTTCTCCTCCTTATGTTTCTGGGCAGTACGGTTATGCTCATCTTTGACCTGATCAGAGATCTTTTCTTCAACAGTCTCATTTCTAGCCTCACTTTTTTGTTCTCTCTCACTCTTTAAAGTCTGTTTTTGCTCTTCCCCACAGAGCTGTATGTTTGTTGGAACTCCTGCAGAGGGCCACTGGTTCTGTAAGCTGTTAAGTCTTTGGGTTAGAAGGGCTTGCTGGGCTGTGCTGAGACCTACGAGTGGCACGCACTGGGTAAGGAGCTGGCCCTGCTGGTTCTCTTGGTGCTGCTGGGTTTGGGCTTGGAGCCCATTTAAGATCAAGGGCATGACCATTTGAGGCTGAGGCACAAGCTGAGGTGCAGCGGCACCAGGAGCAGCACTAGCTGCAAACAGGGAGGGGAGGAGGGAGTGTGACAGCGTGTTGGGACTGGAAGTGAGGAGGGTGAGAAAGGCCGAGACCGCCTGAGCTGAGGCCACAGGGGAAGTGAGGAGGGAGGGAGCCACTTGTGAAGTTGGAATCTGCTCGCCTTCTTTCGCAGCAGTCACCATCAACGTCCCAGGAGCAGCACAGTTGGTGGAGGTAGCTGACTGACTGCTTCCACTTTCCGACGTGGTAACTACTGGGTTGGCAGCGCTGCCTCTCAAACCAGCAGCAGCCACTGCGCTGTTTGCAGCATGTGCAGCAATTCCAGCATTTCTGCTGCGGGTCTGGTGCAAGACAGATTTCATATGGCTCTCAAGGGTGATGGCATGATTGTAGGAGACTCGACATACAGAACACTGGTAGGGTTTGTTTGATATATATGGCCGAGACAGGATTGGAACTGAAGGAGTTTGGGGACTACTTTCTGCACCTTGTTTTCCAGAGCCTGTTGTCATTCTCTGAATGTGGGATGCAGAGTTGTAATGAACACTCAAGGCAGTTCTGCTGGGAAAACTTTCCAAGCAGGCATTACATTTGAATGAACGGGTGTTATTTTCAGCTGGCACACCGTTTTTACCAACTGACTTTTCACTAGCGTCTGGGATTTCTGTGTTTTCAGTTGCATTTTGCTGTTTGGCTCCTGTAAGTGGATTTCCCTCCTCTTCTGGCTCGGCTTCAGCTTCACCTCCCTCCTGTTCCATTATTCTCTCTTCCTCCATCTCTTTGTCTCCAAGCGTCTGGGTAGCGTCTGAACTCTTGATAGATTTGCAGGGGTCTGAAGTGATGTCTTCAGCAGGCTTCAGTTGTGAAGACTCAGCATCTGATAAGATAAATACACAATGAACAATCAAAATCAAATCAGTGGTGTAGTAAACAATAAATGCACATTTACATACGGCATGTAATTTGTATAAGTGAGAGGATTTTCCACTCCAAAAGCATGCTCTAACCTTACTCTTCGAGCCTCCTTTTGCCTTTACATAGTTTTAAAATAGATTATCACCATCAATCAATAAAGGTCAACCAAGTTAAAGTTGTTGAGATATCCAATTAGTGCGGTTACGACAACAACGGGCATGTGTTATTATCCTTTCAATTTTATAGTTTACTTCTCATGAGTTAATTACAAAAACAAGCATCACTCTCACCTGAGGACTTGTGAGCGCCTTTGTCCTCGTCTACACGGGCAGCCCGTTTTAGAACAGCCTGATAACAGAAAAGGAGAGAGTCAGCAAAATTTCCATAGCAAACTTGACTGCGGAATGGCTCTTTCGAGATGAGCTGAATGCTATAATGTAGCTTCTGTGAAGCACAACATTTGGGTGTGACTCATTGATGTGTGGTTATATTACACATAGCGAGCCTGCCTTTAATTTGCAAATTACCCTTCAGGCATAAATTAAGTAGTCTTTGATCAATTGAGCCACCAGTAAAATTCCCTTCATTTCTTAACATTATACACAACTAAACCATCGTGGTTCTTTACAGACTGTTCACAGAGATGCTTACTTTTTCAAATGTGATGGCTACTTAAATACTTTCAAAGTGACATACTCGGTAACAGGCTAAGCCAAACAATGAGATGTTCAAACTATTTAAACAACGATCACAGTCCTGACTACACAAAGGGGATATGCACAAACAAGTCATGAAAACAGAAATTACTTCAATCACATTTTAAACTACTATTAATTACAGTAGTGTGCAAAAGTCTTGCGCTAACACAGATGAAAATATCAGTTTAAAGCAAGTTTACACAATTCTAAAAAGTTTTCAAATCAATATTTGGTATGACCACTTTTAACCAGTAACACAGCCTGAACCCTTATCATTGCTTTAAGTAGTATTAAGAAATAGTTCTCCAGGCATCTCGAAAGACATTCAAAGCATTTCTTTGGATGTTGTCTGACTTTTCTTTCCTGTTATCTACCAAGATGATCCCACACAGCTTCAATAATGTTGAGGTCCGGGCTCTGGGGAGGCCAGTCCATGACTGAATGTTTCTTTGTGTTCTTCTATCCAAATATTACTTCACCAGCAGTGTGTTTGGGATTACTGTCATGCAGCAAAAATGAACCGCTTCTTAAAATATATTGCATGGTAGCTCAAAAATCTGACATTGCTTTTCATAATTCATCATTTTCACAAGATCCCCAACACCAATGACTGAAATGCAGCTCCAAACAATGACAGGGCCTCCACTGTGTTTTAAGGATGATCACTGTTGTACTGTCCTAGCCTCTTCTATAAAATACTGATAATAATTTCAGTGAAGAAGAAAAAAAAAAAAAAAAAAAAAAAAAATTCTTCATTCCTTAAGATCTGTTGACACAGATTTACAGTCTATTTGTGTACTTTGTCATACCTCAGCTTTTTCTCTCAGTTTCCTTTACTCAATGATTTTTTTGACAGACACCCTTCCACTGAGACCATTTCAGATGAGGCTTCAGTGATGGATCAACTGAAAGGCCAGATGCACCTCTCAGGTTCTGTGTCAGGTCTTTACTAGATTGTCCCGCCAATTTTCTAAGGACATGACTTTCAGATGCTATTCATCATAGTTTTAGAAGGCTACCACTTCTTTTGTCCTCCACTTGTCCAGTTTACTCAATTTTTTAAGGGCACACTGCACACCATGCCATGAAGGGCTCACCCTATCGGTGAAAAATAAATAAAGCTGGTTCCTGTTATCTTTGATCTTGGACATTTTTAAATAGTCACCTAAAGAAATGAGAACAAGTGTGTTTTTGTGACAAGCTGCTAGTAACAAAGTGTCTAAAAATACATTTTAAAAATGGTTCTTAGTCAAGTTCTCTGTTGTGTAGACAACATTCAACACAGTTTCATCCCTTCAGTTAGGTGCTATAACAAACAAACAAAACATTTGTTTGTCCATGTACTAACCATTTCCTCTGAAAATGGTCAGTACATGGACTAAAGAAAAGGCGAGTAAAAAAAAAAAAAAAAAA